AGGTTTTTTCAAATAAACATATATATTCAAATGAAAATTATTTATCCGTTTTCTTCAATAGATTCAATATGTTCAAGAAATGGGTTTAGCTGGAATTATGTTTTGGGCAGCAGACCTTGATGATTTTACTGGTAGTTCATGTAATGAAGGAAAATATCCTCTAATGAATAAAGCTGTCAATCTTATTCGTTCTCAAATTCAATCAACAATATCATCAACAAAAAGTTCACTTCAAGAAAAAAAACGTATTGTTTGTTATTATACAAAGTATATCGAAAGGAAATTTCTTTAGAGAAAAAAAAATCGGATATTTACTTTTAGTAGTTGGTCACAATATCGTCCTGATCAAGCAAAATTTTATCCTGAAGATCTTGATGGCTCATTATGCACACATATTGTTTATGCATTTATTGTATTAAAAAATTCAAAACTTGCTCCATTTCAATCGAATGATGAAGATACTCAATCAAGCAAAGGTTTGTTTTATTTCATTTTCATTTCACTGATTCGTTCGGATCGGCGTTTAAGTCTATTCAGTAGTGATTTCTGAATATTTGGATCTTTCGCTGCATGTTTTACTTCGGTTCATTTAAGTTCTAAGTGCTCATGGCAAAGTTTCTCAATGTATTTGCGTTAACTGGTTCGTAGACGTCTGACTGCTATCTTTCATACTTGCTAGGACAGTATTTCGTCTGGCATTCTTAAGACATGTCCTGTTCATCTTAGTTGTCATTGTTCAAAGTGAAGAAGTAGGCGCTCGATTCGTAGAGATTCTCGTATGTCCGAACTGAGAATGTTTTCTTCACATGTTCGATCTGCTGTTCTCTACGAGTATTTCATTTCAGTTGCTTGTATTCGAGATCGAATATTTTCATTCATTACTCATTTTTCGTTATCTTGAATGATGTGAGGTTGACATATCGACTTGAAGATGATGAGTTTTGTTTTCTTGCTCAATTCTACTTTTGTTGCAACTGTGCGATAGAAAAAATTTAGAACATCATTGCCCGTTCTAGTTTGTCGATCAATGTCATTGTTTTGATTTTTATCTCTTGAGAATTACATCCTTAGACACTTGAACTTGTTAATCTGATTCAATGGAGAGCTGTTTGCACGCATAGTACACTGCTCAGATTGTCTTGGAAGAACCATTACTTATGTTTTCTTCACATTGATTTTCATGTCCGACAGGGAACACTATTTCGCAAGCGGTTTGAAAGCTTTTTGAATTCCACCACCTTGACACCAGCGATTTCGATATAATACAGACTGGTACTTTTCTGAAATATCTTGTCCATGAAAATTATAAATAGTAGTGGCGATAATATATACTCTTGTCGTAGTCCAACGCGTACCTAAGGCCAGTCGGACTTGTTACCATTTATGTGAACTTGGCAAATTTCCAGAATTTTTCAAATGTTTGATGTAATGTGAAAAGTTGGTCTGTTGATCCTCTTTTCATGAGAAATCTGCATTGCGCGTCTTGAATATGTGGTTCGACAATTTCTTGGGATCTTCTTTCTATCCATCTGGCGTTGACTTTTTCGGCTACACTGAGTATAGTAATCTCTCGATAGTTAGAACACTTCCTTTGATCTATTTTTCTGAAAATGAGAACAACGTTCCCAGTCTGCTTGTCTGCCGAAGCCTTTTCCGTTCTCCACATCATACAACAGATGCAAGTGAACCAATATATGCTATAAGAACTGAGCGATTTTAGCATCTCTGGTCTTATTTTGTCTCAGTCAGTAGCTTTATCAGATTTGAATGATTTAATGACTGTTGCAGCTTCTTTCAAAGATATATCATTGGTTCCATTCAATATTGATTCAGTTAATGTTCCCCCTACCTATTGAAAATGTCTTCTTCGCACATCAAGAATCGATCAATAGTATCTATTATGGAATGAATAAGTGTAGATTCATTCTTACGATGTCGTTGTATGACTTGCCAAAATACTTTGCTAGTCGAATGATAGTTGGATTCTAGAGGGTGTCCGAAATTATTCCATGAAATCTTTTTGCTTCAGCCACAAGTTTCTTCACGTTGTCTCATAATTGATTATATCACGGTTAATTTTCTGCTGTTTGTCGTTGAATCCATATAGAATACGTCGATTTCTTGTCTAGAAGAATATACGAACTCTTTCAATCTACCATGCAGTTTTTTATAGCTGTTTTTCAGTCCAACATGTTTGATTTCAAAAGGTTCTGCTACAGCGTTTCGTACTGCCATACAAAATAAGAACCAGTCAAATTTAATGTCAACCTCATTCTGTATTATCTCAAAGTGTCATTAATCGACTTTATTCGGAAAATTTTGGTAGATCTCTTTATCAGCCAACGTTTCTCACTATATTGTAATCGTCCTCTTCGGTTTGTTTTTCTA